AGCTTTGTACGTCAGTGTTAGGATTTTGAATTTGATCCGTTGTGCAATCGGAAGCCAGTGGAGGGATTGGCAGAGGGGGGTGGCGGAGATGGAGCAGTTGGAAAGGTGAATGAGTCTGGCAGCCGTATTCAGGATCGACTGAAGCGGGGATAGCCAGCGGCGAGGCAGGCCAGGGAGGAGGGAGTTGCAGTAGTCGAGTCGTGATATGATGAGGGAGTGGATGAGCTATAGAATTTTCCCTGATCACTGTTTTATTGCCACCAGATATTAGCTAGCTTTAGGGTCATTTAGCATCCCTCCAAGCCAGGGTCAGCTAGCGTTAGATTTTAGGCACACTATCATACTCACGCTATACTGTACATTTTGTTTGTCTACAGCGTGGCATGACTATGCAAATACCGGTTCAAATACTGCAATGGAGAATCACAAAATATGCCCAGAGTCAGGAAGGGGGTAAAACCTTCTGAAGCTGAAGTGGTTAAAAAAAAGTGAAAAGTAATTAAAAACGTAAGCAATATATAAAAAAAACTTACACACAGTTTTTGATGAGCCCTTTCGTAAAAAAAACACCAAAAATGTCAAATGCTGTACATGAGCTGTCAGTGACATCATCAAGTTATGCACATCCACATGACATGGTCATGTCCATATTTCGTAAATGATACCACCCAGGATTCCCTACCTTGTTTATATCAGCTGTCATTAGCTGGCAAGCAGTTATTGGGACTGAACTTGTCAACGGTCAGCAGGTTATTTTTTTTTTGCTGGGTGATTAATGTGGATCTGCCTTGTGACTGACAAAGTGATTAATGATGAAAGTACATTGTGGAATATTCCTTTTTTTTTTTTTTATATTAAAAGACTTGTCAAAAAATGTGTGTGTTTTTTATTTACCGTTTCCATTTTTTATGCATGAGTAGGGGGCATGTTGTACCCCTTACTGGAAGGGGGCTTCCTGATTTCCCTGCCCACAGACCCTTAAAACAACTGGACCAGATTTGGAGGGAAGAGTCCCTTATTCTCATAAACATGAGGGATCATGGCCTGGTATGGTTCAGGAGGTCGACTGTACACTCATCCCCACACTTTTTTTTATTTTTTGCCTTTTCTGAAATTCATATCAGACCTGATAACCCTTGTTTGAATTATGGGAGAACATGCGCCAATTAACATCTATACCAGTCCCTTATCTTGGCTAAGGGATTTGTATAAATTAAGGGAATCCCCAGCAGTATTTTTACAAACAGAAGTAAAGCGGTTGGGAGCTGTCTGTTGGCAGCAATTTAAATGGCTTTTTTTCTTGCAAATGTCAGTTTTGCTGCAGTAGGCTGTATACATTGTAAACACAGGCAGGTTAAGGGCATCCACCTGGCATGTTATTTTAATATTTCATTTTAAGCATTATTAAAACCAATGCTTCCTGACAATTTTTAATTTTTTTGTGCTTTGGTGCATGTCCCTCTAAGTGTGTCTAGTACTTCATGTCATTTTTTGATAATCCCCTGCTTTTTAGCCTAGAAAATATTCAGAAATGATTTTTAACATTAGGCTCCCATTGACTTTAATGGGGTTCGATTTCAGCAACCGAACTTTTGTAATGTTCGCTTCACCGTCTTCTGATCAAACTGAGGTTTGTTTGACTCATTCCCATTGCCTATCCGTCATCCAAACTCTGCATTCTAGGCTGTAGTTAACCACTTGCCCTCCAGAGGATTTACCCCCCTTCCTGACCAGGCCATTTTGTGCGATACGGCGCTGCATTACTTTAACTGACAATTGCGCGCTCATACAAAGCTGCACTCAAATCTTTTTTTCCCCACAAATATAGCTTTCTTTTGGTGGTATTTGATCGCCTCTGAGTTTTTTATTTTTTGCGCTATAAAAAACAAAAGTGACAATTTTGATAAAAAAAAACAATATTTTTGACATTTTGCTATTAAACATGTCCAGTAAAAAAAATTTAAAAAAAATTGGCATAAATTTGGGCCAAAATGTATTCTGCTACATGTCTTTGCTAAAAAAAATCCCAATACGTGTAAATTAATTGGTTTACATGAAAGTTATAGCATCTACAAATGGCGGTATATATACTGGGATTTAAAATATTTTTTTTTCATACTAGTAATGGCGGCGATCAGCGACTTATAGCGGGACTGCGGTGGGCATTCTGACACTGGGGGGGGGGGGGACTGATTAACTATCACTGACATCCCCAGTGACACCAATACAGTGATCAGTTTTAATAAAAAGCACTGACACTGTACTAATGACACTGGGCAGGGAGGGGTTAACATCTGGGGCGATCAAATGGTTAACTTTGTGCTGTTTCACTGTAAGCTGTGTGTGTGCTTTACACTGTAAGCACACTGCTTTGTATGGCTCTGCTATGCAGAGCCATACAAAGCAGTGTGCAGGAGCTGACAGGAGCTGACAGGAGAGAGATCTGTGTTGTTTACATACAGGTCTCTCCCCCTCAGAGATACTTGGGGATCGACAGATGCCGCTACCTGGAAATGCAAAATCACATATATTATACATGATTTTGCACACCCGTACTCCCCTGTAGCAGTATTTCTGCTATAGTGCGGTGGGAAAGCGGTTAAAAGAGAACATCCTAATTAAGCTCCAAATCCAGTTTTAGCTGGAAGTCCAGCATTTCCAATCACCAGCTGCTTTGCTAATTCCCACTGTTGCATTTGGAAGGGTATGCTATTTGCTCAGCTCACACAATCTATATGTCTGGGAATACAGTAATGTTACTTTACACACAAATCCCCATGTTGCAAGCAGGCTTTGGAGTTACAGTAGGCCAAAGTCTGATGTGGATCATTAATTTTTCGCCAAGCAGCAAAATTTAAAAAGCACAGACATAAGTAACCAGCTATGTTTGAGTTATTTATCACTGGCTTTTGTATCTTGCCTGCAATTCTCCCTTTAAGTAGACCGAATTTTTGCAAGCAAAAATAAAGTATTAAAATTAAATCAAAAAAGTATGTGCATCCCTCATGCTTCAGGCTGGTTTAATACTTTTTTTTTTTTAATTTGGCTCTCTTTGGCTGCATTGGCCTACAGCAGGACAGATATTGCCAACAACAGCAAGGACTTTTTTTTTAACTCCTCCTAAACCTTTTCCATGCACAGTATATAAAAGATTGATGACTCTGAAAAGGCCTTAAAAAGGGGAGGATTAAAGGTGAACTCCAAACAGGTAAATGTACAAATGAAATACATAACCAGGAGTTATCTCCTTCTATCTGCACACTCCTTGCATTGCAGCACAATTGTCTCCTTTTGCTGATTTTCCCTTTACCAGTGCGAGCTTTGTAGAGGGACTGCAAAAGGGCTGATACCAAGATAAGTTCAAGTACTTACATTGCATACACTGCATACACGTCTTAATAAATATCTGTGATGAGGTGAAACATTTGGACAAAATATCAAGAACGTTAATTGAGTTAAATGTTGGCCTAAATTATTATTTCTTAAAATAGTATTTTAGGCAGTGATTAAAAACAAAAGAAGAAGCTCAAGATGCAAACCTTCAGTTTGGCGTTGTACCCTTAGTATTATTATTATACAGGATTTATATAGCGCCAACAGTTTGCGCAACAATTTACAATATAAGGGAGACAGTACAATTACATTTCAGTACAGAAGGAATATGAGGGCCCTGCTCGTGGAGCTTACAATCTAAAAGGAAGGGGGAGGTGATAGCTGTGGTGGAGGTGATTCAAGTACAGTTCTTAGGTGGAGGTGGGATAGGCTCCCTGAATAAGTGAGTTTTCAAAGATTGCCTAAAGGCATACAGGGGGGGGCTGACCGGACATACTGTGGTAGGGAGTTCCAGAGAATAGGAGAGGCTCTGGAGAAGTCCTGGAGGCAAGCGTTGGAGGAGGTGATGAGGGAGTTAGAGAGGAAGATATCTTGGGAGGAGCGGAGTGGGCGATTTGGAAGATATCTGTGGATGAGGTTGGTGATGTAGCTAGGGGCAGTATGGTGGATGGCTTTGTAAGCTGTGGTTAGTATTTTGAAGTTTATACATTGGGTTAGTGGAAGCCAGTGAAGGGATTGGCAGAGAGGGGCAGCGGTCGCCAATCGGTTGGTAAGGTGTTTGAGGCTAGCAGCAGCATTCATAATAGACTGAAGGGGGGATAGCCTATGTAACGGTAGACCAGTGAGGAGGGAGTTGCAGTAATCAAGGCGGGAAGTACCCTTTCTTTACTACAAGAGGCCCTAATGCCTACTACACGCGTTAAGAAAATAGGATGAAAGAAAATCCCGCTTTCAGAGCGATCTTCCAATAATCTGATCATTAATACACAGCTTTTGAGAGCAGATCATGACAGTTCATGCAAAAATATCCAAAGGGAATATTCTCGTAGGTTAAAATGTTACTAAACCTCAGACCCTGCATTCAATGTATTTGGTCTCCCACAGTACACAGAACATGGAAATGCAATTATTTTAGTAAATATAAACTGCTAAATACCTTTTCTCATCAGCAGATAGAGCAGTCTTGTGACTTCTATCAGTGTCCAGCATAGCACTGGTTAAAGCTTGTAGAAGAATGCAGAACCCCTGACCCTCTGTCTGGACAGTGTGGATTGGCCCTGTGCTGATCACATGCACTCTACCAAGAAAACAAAAAAACCTCTCTAGCAATATGCACCAAACTGAGCATGATCAGTGTCTCCACATGATATGTCTTATCAGGAGATAAGAGGGGAGCACTGGAAGAAGAGGTGGATCAGAGAAGACAGTATCAAATGGCCTGTTTACACAATGCAGAGGATTAACCCCTTAGGTCAGTGGTTCTCAACCTGTGGGTCGCGACCCCTTTGGGGGTCAAAAGACCCTTTCACAGGGGTTGCCTAAGACCATCGGAAAACACATCGGAAGGCACCGCTCTTCTATCCGCCTCCAGGCGGGTCCGCCTACATGCAGATACGCCCACATTTCCCTGGACTGCGATGTGTGGGCGGGATGACATGCCGCCCCTGTCATCTGGCCACACCCCCAGGATCACTCAATAGCTCCACCTCCTCGCCGATGATCGGCCGCCGGAACTGTAGCTCAGGAGAGGCACACAGGTGGCCAATCACAGGCGAGGAGGTGGAGCTTGGAGAGGAGGAGCCGAACGGCAGCGCGAAGATCAAAGAAGATCGAGTGAGGGAGCTGCCGGAGCGAATGAAGAGGAGAGCGGCCGGAGAAGGAAGACAGCTGACCGGTAAGTGTCTGTACCGTGCAGATGGTGCTGCTGCAGCCAGGTATGCTGGCTGTAGATGGGAGAGGGAGGGAGCGAGCCCAGGCCAGAGCAGGGGTCAGCAAGGTAAGTATCATTGGTATCAGTGGGAGGAATAGTGCCCCATCATTGGTGTCACTAATACCAATGATGGGGCACTATTCCTCCCACTGACACCAATGATGGGGCACTATTTCCCCCCCACTGACACCAACGATGGGGCACTATTCCTCCCCCCACTGACGCCAACGATGGGGCACTATTCTTCCCCCCACTGACACCAACGATGGGGCACTATTCCTCCCCCTACTGACACCAACGATGGGGCACTATTTCTCCTCCCCAATGACACCAACGATGGGGCACTATTCTTCCCCCTACTGACACCAACGATGGGGCACTATTCCTCCCCCCACTGACACCAATGGTGGGGCACTATTCCCCCCACTGACACTGATGGGGCACTATTCCCCCCCACTGATGGGGCACTATTCCCCCCCACTGACACCAATGATGGGGCAATATTCCCCCCCCACCAATGATGGGGCAATATTCCCCCCCCCCACACACTGACATCAATGATGGGGCACTATTCCCCCCTCCACTGACACCAATGACGGGGCACTATTCCTCACATACTGACACCAATGATGTGGCACTATTCCTCCCACTGATACCAATGATGGGGCACTATTCCTCCCACTGACACCAACGATGTGGCACTATTCCTTCTACTGATACCAATGATGGGACACTGCAAAATTACAGTTATGAAGAAGCAATATCTCTTTCCCTCCCTCCCTCTCTCTCTCTCCCTCTTCATCTTCTCTCTCTTACATTATATCTCTTTCTCTCCCGCCTTCTTTATCTCTTTCACTCTCTTTATATCTCTCTCCCTATCTTTCTTTCTCTGTATCTTGATCTCTTTCTCTCCCTCCCTCTTTATCACTTGCTCTTTATCTCTCTCTTTATCTTTCTCCCCTCTTTATCTTTCTTTCTGCCCCTCTCTCTCTCTCTTTTCTCTCTTTTTCTCCTTCCCTTTTTCTTCCTCTCCCTCTTTATCTATATTTTGCTCTCAATTTAGATGGGGGGGGGGGGGGGCAGATGTTAGTGTTGCTTAGGGCAGCACAAAACCAAAATACACCACTGCTGTTCATATTATCAAAACATGAAGCATTAACGTCACTTCAAAATGTAAGCCTCATGTCAAGTCTGGAGGAGTTTGAAGCTTTTCAATGCTTCCCATTCAAGTCTTTGGTGATGCTCCACAAATGTGCTGGCATGCGTTTCTAGTGCGATTGCGGCACAATAATAACATTCCAGTTTATTATAGGCATTTGTTGTGCAGTTTTAACGCTTGTAAAACGCTTATAAAACATGTCAAAACTGCGCATAGGGCATTTGGGGAGCATTTTTAATGCTTGTAAAACACCAGTCTAATGCCCATACTAAAGCTCATTAGCACCTAACGCCCCATACTAATGCTGTAGGAGCGTTTGTTAAGAGTTAGAAATTAGTCCAAATCCGTTCCATATCTGCCACCCCTCTCTGGCAATGCCTCGACTGGCTTCCCAATGCCCAACGAATAAAATTCAAAATATTAGCAATAACATATAAAGCCATTTATTACTCTGCCGCCAAACTACATCACCAATCTTGTCTCCTAATATCACCCAAACCGCCCTCTCCACTCCTCCCACATCCTCCTCCTCCCTAGCTCCCTTGTCTCCTCCTCCCATGCTCGTCTCCAGGACTTTTCCAGAGCCTCCTAGAATTATCTACTCGACTATTTCCTATTCTGCCCACTTTTAGGCGATCTCTGAAAACCTATCCCACCTTCAGCTAATAATGGAATCTTCTATTCCTTCTATCAGTTCACCCCCCACAGTTATAGCCTTTTGTACCACCAGCCCCTCCCTCTTAGATTGTAAGTTCCAAGGAGCAGGGCCCTCCTAACCCTCTTGTATTGAACTGTATTGTTGCTGTATTGTCTCCCTTTATATTGTAAAGCACTGAGCAAACTGTTGGCACTATATTAATCCTGTATTACAATAATAATAATAATAGTCAAGTGTGAATAGGCCCTAAGGAAAAGACTGAGAGCGAGGTTCTCCCTTGGAAGGGGGAATGACAACGATGCTATTCATTTACAGTTTACTGCTGCAAAAACACAAAAAGCATTACAGTAAGGACCATAAGGGAGGAGGGGGGTAAATTTTGGGAAATGTGGAGCCTGGATTTGGTCTTTAAATGAGAGTCATCTGGCCAATTATAAGCAACTATAAAATTGGTCTATGAATAGACCACCGCCCCTTGAAAAGACCAGGCACATATCCATTTTTAAAGTGTATGTAACTTCTAACAATAAAAATTGTATAATTTTTTCTCCTTTTGAAAGTGTGTTGTTATTTGTTTGAAAAGCAAAAAATGACTTCTTGTTCTACCCAATAGCCTTGTGAGCTGATAACATGCTATGCTCTCAGCCTGTGCTGTAATCTTATCAGTTAGCATTGTTTCCAGTTGCCTCTGTGAACTACAGAACACCTCAACTCATGTTATAGGTGGGAGAATATAGAGAAGGCAGAAAGCATGTTACTAGCATAATCACTGGGTTAAAAGAATAGAAAAAAAAGCATATGAAAATGAATGAGGCCACCATGTCTAAAGACTGCTCAAGTAAAATGTAAGGGGATGAGTGCTCTTCACATGTCCAGATAAATATTGGTTCTGTAAGGTCTTCAAGTTTTATTGCTCTAGTTTCACAGGGAGAGAGGGTTGGGGTTGTCTCCAATAGCAGTCAGGGGGAGTTCTTCCAGACAGCAATCCCCCTCCAGCTGACATCCATTAGGCTCCTCCACCTTGAAAGGAATACCTTCCTTGACTAGGTAGGACCCCTGTGCTAGGTCCTATAGGATTCAGGCCTACACAGCACAAACATTGCACACATCCTTCCTAGGCCAAAGCTTGGGGGGAAATGAGTACTCACCAGGCCACTCCCCAAGCTTTTATAGCCTTCCCCAGTTGCACCACTGTCAGGAAACTACTAGTGGTAACCAGAAGGGACATAAAGTCTCAATAGCACAAAGTTTACTACTGTCTAATAACTATTGCTCTAAGTACCAGTGACACCAAGTGGCAGCAGTAGGGTACTGAAGCAAGAATGGGGAGGAGCCAAATAAGAAACTACACTGTCCCTGCCACACTATTATTATTAGGCATCCCTGAAATACAGGGTGGCTACACATGCTAACAATGTGGATGGAGGACTCTCCACTCTGGCTATTGAATACACTGATGTTGATCTTTAATGGGGCATGGTTGTGCTTGTAAGGCCACTTATTGGTTGAATTTGTGCCTATTTAGCATGAAACACCCAAAATTTGGGCCTTCTCTGGAAGTCTTACGCTACTAAAAAAGTGTGAAGTGCCGACTAGTGGAATTAAGTGGTTGTTCTTGATTGCTCTGAGATTTAGCTCCTGTCCTGTAGACATGCAAGCACCACAGACTGAGAATTTAGTCCTTCTATGATAAGAGGTGACTAGATGAGCTTATGCTAACCAAGCTATAGCCTTCTCCACTGGTTTAAGAGACTAAACCAAGCAATGGCAGTGGGAGGACCAGGAAGAAATCTCCTTGTGCAGCATAGAGTGCACAGAGGCATGTAAGTTGATAGGGGTAGGTAAGTGGTACTTCTTCTGTGCCCCCTTCCCCATTGGGAACCAAGTGTGGGTAACATAAGAGGCCTGCTCCGTGGGTGGGTTCTTCTAGGCTACACTGGGCACCTCGAACAGGGTCACTCGCCTTGCACTTGGGTTACCTTTACTGTGCCATGCTCATCAATGCCCTGGGACAAGCCAGGGGGTTGCTTTCAGGGATAACTCAACCTTGAAGGTTAACTCCACTTTTGTGGGAAAAATTAGCAAATAAAAAAACAAATCACATATTATATACAATTGTGACACAAAAATCATATTGTAATTGAATGTTATTAAAAATTATATTTCCTTTTCAATCTGCAGCACTGTATATTTCTGTAAATTGCAGAGCAATAGGACTACCATGTATACAGATGGAGTGCAGCACACCCCCCAGATATGTAATTTCCTGCTTGTGTGATTGGCTTACTGATTTTTCCAGAAGTCTGCACTGTCAAATGTCATTTTTGTTGAGATACTTTCAAAGGGAAATCACATCCAAAAGGGATTCAATTTCCTCATTAGAGCCCTGCAGGTGCAGCAGCCGATTGATAACTATGGAACCACTCCCATTCTCCTTCACTCTGCAGATGGACACAGACAAACATCTATTTCTTCAGGATAACAAAAGGTAGGACTCTGCAACAATGTTTTGGAAAATCCTAGCAATATACATTGAGTTTTTTCTCAACAAAAGTGGAGTTACTCTTTAAGGTGGACTCCCAACTCAGAGATGGCCGTAGGCTGTGTACACTTGAACAGATAAACTGAACTGCAGTTAACGTTCTTTACCCCTGTGTCAATGTACACCTTCACTGTCACTTGTTAAATTTAAGAGGGAGACACTGAGCCAATGCCCACTCCACCTGTCCAGTGTGTCTCCACAACCTCACTCCCAGTAACAGAATGGAATCCCGCCGTGCACCTAGAGTGGTTTCCATGTGTGCGCTACGTTAACTCTAGTTAACCTAGTGGCCAGGGCTGGAACCTCTCCTGTTGCTATGGGAGAAAGACCGCCAGGGGAAATAACTCTGACAACAACTCCCTCGCTCTTGTAGACTTTCATTATCCCTGGTAAGCACTTACTTGCACTTCCCAATGTGTTAACTCTTGTGCTGCTGTCTTCATACCCCAATGTGCTTTACAGACCCAAGATGCAGATGGCTAGGCCAGATACTTTCATACACCCCTTAAATAAACTCAGACCAAACATGGCACTCAGTAATGTATATCCCAGCTTCCCTGTACTCCATTATAGTGATATGACATGTATACAGTAATGTATATCCCAGCTCCCCTGTACTCCATTATAGTGATGACATGTATACAGTAATGATTACTGGGCAAGGTTGGGTGGGGCAACTGGGGGAGAGTAAGTTTTGTGACCGGCTAGTAGGTCTGGACCCGAAATTTTAACC